AATATTACAAACTGACTATATATCGGCATTTATTTAAATACTAAATCCAAATTACAATTTAACTACTAAATTTAAAGTATCATTTAGCTCGGTTTCTGACCTCTTGAAATTCTAATACGTAACAATATATATAAATACACTGATGTTTGATAAATTAACCACACAGTTTTCAAATGTAATATGTATTATGCTTTTGTATTAATCGGTATCTCAAATTACTTAATATTTTTATTTTCCCGTTCTTACTTTGCAGCCAATGTAACTTGTTTGTACATTAAAAAATAAAATAAGAAGGGACCAAGCTAACTTAGCAAATAGAGTGCTCGGACTGTAAATTCGAGGATTTTTTTAGTTCGCGACCCGTTACCAAAGACAAATGTGACCCGCACTTTGGGGTCTTAGGTACGCTATAAGAATGACGTCATGTCTTAATACAATCGATCAGAAAGAGTTGGCGGTGGGTGTTTCTGAGTAACTGCCTTCCCTTCAGTTTCTCAGCTCAAAATTAGGTGCTGCTATGCGCAGGTAGCACTTGTTTAGCTTAGCATGAAATTCTGAAACAAAGTATACGATATTGAGTCAAACTATGATTTTCAATCTTTTGGAAAGGTAATACGTATGTTAATACAACGCTCTTCTTTCTGGAAATACATATTGATACGGTAAAGAATTGTGATATAGTTTTCAAGCCAAAAATTTCTATACTTGGGCTAAGTTTGTAATGATACAGAAAAGTAATTATTCTGATAAATTTACTACAACTACAAATATCTAGGTTTTAACGTTGACAGCTTGACATCCGTTGAAATTGTACGTGATTAAGATTTTTTAATAATTGATAGTTTTAATGTAAACATGAATAATTTCTTATTGCAAGTAATTTGTATGGCATAACAGGACATTAAAAGGCAAATTCTAAATTGTTCTGACACACCTAAAATACACACCCAGCTTTTATGCTGAAATTCGTGGGTGTGACTTTTCATGTATCATTCTTTATATATGCTTTTCATTTTTTGTCATATACAGTAACAAGTATTATACGTATGTAGATACAAAGACATCTGTTCGAAACTTTTGCTTCACCATGCAGAATTATTCAGTAATACCAAAAGTGAAGTAAATTTCAAAGAAGAATATTCTGGATATTTCAATAAAAATAAAATAATATGTTTTGAATAACTTTAGTGTACAAATAGTGTAACCTAACCTACTCACAGTCTGTATTCTGTAATGCAAGAGTAAGTTAATATTTACTGGTATCTGTAGCTTCCGGTGAGAGGACAAATCCCGAGCGTTATGGTTGTTTAGCTCAGCCCTCTTAGTCTATAAAACGGTGTCGTTGCATACGTTAAATCTCACACGTTTCTGTCAGAGACAGGAGAATCGGAGGGAAGAGACCATTCACTTTTGAAATCAAGGAATTTCTAACACTTATTACTTGACCATCTCAAGGTAAATTAGCAAGTAAATATTTTATTAATCTTAGTTTTCTAATGTGAATTAAAATTTTATTTATAAACGTAATTCAATAATTATACTAAAATTCGAGGTAACGCTAAAAATGCCGGTATATTATGCCGCATTCACATTGAATGACCTTGGCTTCAGTTGTTGCTCTACTAGTAGTAGTAGTGTATTTCTCAATTTTGGTTTTACTACTTTTTATAATGCAAAATGTTTTAGAGATAATAAAACTATCGTTATCATGCAATTTCTATATTTCTTACAATCAGCTTTTAGCTTAGGAACTTTAATGTTTTTCACCTTCAAAATGACCCATTCAGTAGACCGTCTATTGTGAGAGGAAGCTTGGTAAAAAAAAAAGCAAAAAACTGTTACAACGTTTTAAGCCGATATAATATGTTCGAATGACAAAATCTCGTATTACGTGCAAATAATCAAACTTAAGAGAAGAATAGCACAGTTTTTAAATTACACATGAATCATTAAAATGAGTAGAGCTGATAAATTAACAATGTGTAAGTATAATTGGTATTCTAGAAAATATACGTTTCAACAGTACCTTGGTTGATATGTCTATATTAAAAGTTAAATATCACCGTACTTAAAAAATCGTTTTGTTAACCTACTACTATATTAGAATAATGTTGCTTCTTAACAAAAACCTAGAGGTGCTGATATTTTGTACAAAATTTTCTCGTAAATCTTGCAAGTTTAAAAAATGTTAGTGGTATAATTCTAATAAAGCAAATTATCTGCTCATTATGCACAAAATATATAATTTAATATGCAATATTTTCTCTTATGTCGGTTTTATTCGACGTGTTGTTAATTTCTATCACTTGGAAACAAAGAGCAAGTATTATACAACACGAAACTTATTCCATACCAAAAATAGCCAGTTTAATTTTATCATTTAAAATGCTTTAATTTAAACTAATTTGTGTTTAGGATGGCACTAAACATGAGATACTGTAAAACACATATTCAATAAATGTTTAGGTGCAACTCTGGGTTTGTATTTGTGCATAACTTTATTGAATATATATCTATCATTCAATTCTTGAGATCCATTATTTATTACTGTATCAATTTATGAGTAAAAATGTGCAAGATCATAAAACATATTTAAAACTGAATCACTATTAATTCTTTTTTTTTATCAGTTTAAAATAACAAAATTAAAAAAAAAAAAAAGTAACAAAGTTGACATTTCTTGGATGAAGTGGAAAAGTTAGACTATTTGTTCTAATTAATTACTTGTTTCCGAACATAAGAGGAAATAAGATTAGGTTTATTTGGTGTATGCCCATAATAATTTTTTTCTTTCTAGTACCTGTACAATCATGCCTATCACCAAAATATTTGCTCGTCAGATATTTGACAGTCGTGGAAATCCAACAGTTGAGGTTGACCTTACCACTGACAAAGGTATGGAAAAACTGTTGGTTTTTTTTTTTAAATATTCGATACCAACCTTCCACAAACTTTTTGTATTGTTATAAACTTTTATACAGAACTTTGATAGTGTGAGCTTCTAATATCTATGGTGTAAAAAAAAAAGATAATTATTTACAATGCTGCCGTTACCAGAATAGCATATTTATTTGGTATGTGTGTGTGTGTGTGTGTATAAAAAACCAAAAATGTACACCTCTTCTACCATTCCTTACTGTCATCGGTAGATCATATCCGTCATGACTTAAAGACAACAGTAAAGAATGGTAGCTGAATTTCAGTTGTGTTGTTTTAGGTATATATATTAAATTGTTTTATGGTGCTGATTGTAATTGCCTATGAACAATTAATGTATTGCATAGTATAGTATTTATTGATTTGTGTATATAACACACTATGTTTTGTTAAATTAATAAATTTTTAGTTTACTACAGTGGAAATTACTTGTCAAACTATAGATACAGTTTACACATTTTTTTTCTACAGGTATGTTCAGAGCAGCTGTCCCAAGTGGAGCATCTACTGGAATATACGAAGCTCTTGAGCTTAGAGATGGAGACAAGACAAAATATCATGGCAAAAGTGTTGGAAAGGCTGTTGACAATGTGAACAGTATTATAGCTCCAGCTCTTTTGGCCAAGGTAAGACAGTGTTTATATAATGGAGCAACTTATTTTCTAACAGTACAGTTTCTTATTACTGAGCATTATATTTTAAAATACTTTCGCTGATTTGTGTTCATTAGCATATTCAGTTTTTCCAAAGATGTGGCAAAGTTTACTAACTGCTCTAAAGTCCTGTTATTGGGATAAACTAACTTTCGCTTGCATTTTAATATTTAGCTCTTCAAAAAAAAAAATTGTAGTGTTTTAGGTTAATGTTAATAAATAGCATTAATTTTGCTGTAAGAATCTTGTAAGAGACAAAATATTTATAAAGGTGATTTGATTTTGTGGTAGAATAACAATTTGAACAAACTCCAAACACAACTTAAACTTTCTATTTTAAAAATTAGCAGATAGAAATGTACTATTGAATTTACTAGAATCCTTCAAAAGCTTTTTTTAATTGAAGTGATAAAAAAAAGATCTGTGTTGACAATTAAACTAAGAGTAAAAAATGGTACTTGGTGAATGAGTGATTGCTTTCGTGCATGTCATGTGACCACACTTGTACAAATAAGTTGCAGATTTTATTTTTTTATAGAATTTTGAAGCAACTCAGCAGGGGGAGATTGATGAATTTATGTTATCATTAGATGGAACAGAAAATAAAGGTAATTAGTGTTAGATTAATTCTTAAGATTAATAATAATTTCTTCTCATAAATGACTTAACTTTTATAATTGGTTTAAAATTATAAACATTTTGACAGGCACAGTATGACTTTTGTTGTTTTGAACACTTGGTGTTTTAAATATTATGACAAATTCAGTTTTTAAACTGTTCTTCCAATTTGGTTTTGTGAAAATTTTTAAACACAAGTCTGCTTTTTCCATCCTTTTTTTTTTGTAAATGTCTTTAGGAGTTATTCTATATCAAGTTATGTGATTTCAGGATATAGATAAAAGATACAAAACATAACCCAGAATGGGTGGGTGGGACTTACAGAAAAAGTTTAACATGCAGTTACTGTCAGAATTAGTAACTGTTTAAAGTTGAGATATAGTCTGTATCACACACAAATGCTTCATGGTAAGTAACATTTAATGAGTTTCATACTCTTTTTCAAGAGAGAATGCAGGAATCAGTAGTGTAATTGTTTGAGTAAAAATGTGGAAGGGATGGAGTATAATTCAATACAGTCTTTATTTTATGATGTGGAAAAATATCACTTGAGAGTTATTCAGTGCTTAGCAGATACATACACAGAAATATCGTATGTACATTAGGAAAAAAAGCTATGCAATGATTTTAGATGAGCTATGTCACTCATGTATAATACCTATTGACGGTCGTATATTATTTAAAATTCACCAATATAATGAACTTAGAAAGGTATTGTATGTACAATATCTAATACACTACCAGTTCTAATAAATTAATCATATGCTTAGTGGTGGTTAGTTTCAGTTATGACTTGTAGATATATAAAAATGTATTTAAAGGTTAACGTACATGTGTCTCTTTGTGGTAATAATTGTTGTATTGTGAAAATTTATTATTATTTTTTTTTTCTTCTGAAGTTCACACTATTCTTGTGTGTGTGTGTGTGT